CGACATTAGCCTCAGCATTATAACTGTGAAGATAGCATGAGCCACAGCTAGTGCTCTTGTGGCTGAGAAGCAGAGCCAAAGGTCATGATCCTGGAGGGAGGTGGGTCCATGCAGCTATGGGGTGCATATATGCTATCAGAACCAGTCATTACAGAAATAAACCAAGTATGGCTGCAGAAGTGATGACTGAAGCTGAGTGAAATGGATATTAGGTATGAGGTCAGTTATGAGTAAACTGAAGAGTTTAGAGTCCAATGTGTTGCCTCCTGAAACAATGCAGACTGGTGGGTCATCAAACACTATGGGCCTGGTGCAGAGGGTAAGCATGGGCATGTTAGCTACTTTTTGGTTGCTGTGTCTAAAATATCTGAAGGAAACTGCTTGAACTAGGGGAATGATTTCTTTTGGCTCAGCTTGGGTGGAGTTGTTTGGGTGCTCCATGTGCATGGTTAGAAATCACTGTGGTGGGAAGCCATGGTGAAGTCGGTTCTTCACTTCCTGAATGGGTATTAAGGACCGGTAAGAAGGATCCAGGGACAAGGTACCCAACCCCCAAGGACCCACCTTCAGCCATCTACTTTTTCAATTTAGGTTCGATCTTCTGAAGTTCCTAAAACCTCTCCAAATAGCGCCATTAGTCTACAGCCAATCATATCCAAACAGCTGTATTATTTAATGAGCACTCACAATTAAGAAAAAAATCATTCTTTAATAAAAATCAATGCAGACAAAACCAGACACCTAGATTAATTCATATTTTGGTACGTTGTAGGAGAACTCACTATCTCTTGCTTCCTGGTTGGGCAGAGTGCTAACTTTTTAAAGGAAGTAATTATCATTCCAATACATTGTCGTTGCTTCATAAGGAGAATCAAGATCATTCCTCACATTCTATAGACCCTCTGAAGCATTAGTCCAACTGTCCTGTGTGATTCATGACTGCATGTGTTAGGAGAGTGAAGCAAATGGTAGTCATGTCCTTAGGTGCTTACATTCTATGGGAGAAGTACAAACATGGATTGACAGTGGCATTAGAAAGCAGAAAATGATAAATGGCATGAAAAGGGCTGAGATGAAATATGGTGTTGGGGCTTCTAACAGGGGACCAGATGTCTATAGGCAACAATTGATGACAGGAAGGGGGCAGGGTTAGGAACAGAGTCCTGGGATCTTTCAGATGGGATAGAAGTTGAGGTAGCAAAAGGAGGAGATGAACATGGTCGAGACAAAGGTCAATTAAGGCAGGGGACGCAGGGAGGTCCAGCTGCTGCCTAGAGAGGCAGTAAAAACGACCAAATGTGTCTGTCATTCATGCCCCTGAAGCTCATCCTCTTCTCCCTGGGATCAGAGAGGAAAACTAAGCAAGTGAGAAGTAACTGACCCTTGGTAATGTTAGGCTGTAAAGAAGCAATGATCCCAGTGTTGGGCTTGGAAGATTGCATGACATTGGAAACAGTCCTAAATTAGGATTTGGCAAAGCCAAAGGCAGGAAGACACAGTGGTCAAAACAGTTGGAATGGCTGTTCCAGAGGTCAAGTTTCAAACTCATTTGGAAACAAGTGAATGAAGAAAGTAGGAAAGGAAGCCATCACAGGAGATGGAGAGAAATTTGGCAAGTGAGAGGACACAATGTGAACCACCAGGATACTAGTTTTGTTCTTTTCAAGTACCATATCTACTGACACCTACAATAGGGCTTAGCCCGAGTGTTGAGGGCTCTAAGGTGGACTTTGATGATGGCAGCACAGACCTCTTCTGATTGTTCTTGTGGAGGGGGAAGGAGAGTAGCAAGTCTGTGTGTAATGTCTCAGATGCCCCTCCAGGAAAAGAACTCCAGTGGAAAGACATTGTACAGGAATTTAGTCATCTAGGTGCTTGGGAGTCTGAAAGCACTTCTAGAGCCTGTTCCCAGATCAGCTTCTGATATGGTTCTCTGTAGCATGATACACTGAGACTTTTGTAAGGCTCGGTGGCTGCACTGGAACTTCTATAATTGTGTGTAAAGTGAGGAGAAGGGGTTCCTTTTGTTCCTACACTTGAGTTTTGATATCATGACAATACCTTTCTCTTGTGACAATATTTATGAGCAGTCAAGAGTAGCAGAATCACATCCAAGGGGAAGAGGTTTATGCATTAACAGCTATTTCTTTTTTTTTTTTTTGTTCCCAAAGACCAAAGAAACACCTCAGAAGGAACTTAGAGGTAAGGTGCGTTCCTCTGACAAAGGCAGAGAAAAGGCAGTGTAGATAATGACATTCATTCTGTGATGAGACTGAAGAAATCAAGATTATTAGCTTTGTCAACTCAGTGAAAAGAGTTATTCAACTCATTGAGCTGCTTCTTGAGGACCTCTTTCCTAGTGAGGTCAATGGTGTGAGTGCAAAAAAATCAAGCTGTTACTGCACCCCTAAGGACAGACTTTACATGTTCCTCTGCTGGTAGGTGCCCCCCACCTCCAATTGATTCTTACTCACATTCAGTTTGAATGACATTGTTTTTCCTGAGTGAAATGTCTCTGGGTCCCTCTTTCAGACCTGACACTGCCTACTCACAATCATTGTCACCTTGTCCTCTTTTGTTCAGTCTTCCAGTTGGAGACTGCAGTCCTGAAGATTTCATGGGCTAATCCTGAAGAGCCCAAGTCAAACAACTAGAGGAACACGCCACTATTCCCTGTTTCTGGAGCTGCGCACATAACCCTGTTTTGAGAAGCGGAAGATGAGTAGTCTCATTGGAAGTTTCTGAGAGAGACTGTCCTGTTCTTGAAAGAGACACTGTGTTGACTTCTGGAAGGGCCAGAATTGCATAACTAGAGAGTCTCCAGTCCAGAAGACTGGGTGGGGCAGTTCTGGGGATAAAGCTGGCATGCTAGGGATAGCAGACAGCATAACGGAAATGGTTCACAATCCTCTCTGGAATTACTCAGTGGGTGAATTGACTAACTAGACACTCTTGACCTTGGGACTTCTTGCTGCATGAAACAATAAATGCCCTTATCATTTCAGACATTTTACTTGGGTTATTTATTAATAGTGGCAGATTCCCATGACGGTCTCATATTCCCATCCTGTTCTTTCTCACTATTTATCACGTGTATATTTACTTGTTTAATGATTGTGTCTCCCACTGGATTGTAGACTCTAAGTTGACAGGATAGTTGAATCTTGTTCATCATTGAATTTCCAGGAGTAAACAGTGAGAGTGAGTCAGGGTCAACTTGAATTCTCCAAGAAAGGCTGTGTGAAAGCCTCACATTCCTAAACTATAGTGCACTTCTGTCCTTCATCCCTTCCTCCTCTTCTTCATTGCTGGATGTTTCTTGCTCCCCTCCCCCCTTCTCCTGAATTGTTTGCTTTTCTCCTGTTTCTCTGCTGTCAGTGAAGCTGACCTGAAAGAATGCTACCTGCTTCCTAGGAGGGCACCCAAGTTCCTCTTTATTTCTAGTTTTATGCCCCTCTCTGGACCCCAATGCTGGTTTTCAAGCTTTTACCTCAATGAACAGAACATACCTGCTACATAGATGACCTAGTGCACATATACTGGATCAAGAGATTTCATGAAACTGTGCTTTTTGCATTCTTTAAATATGATAATTTTGGCCCAATGTGTCAAGTCTGACTTAAAATCCTTTCTTACCATAAGCTTACTCATGACTTTATTTTTTTCGATGGATTTCCCCTTTCCTTTGGAATTCTTCACCCCCATCTTTTCTGGATAGGCGGCATTGGAGGCCAGCATAAAATGTACAGACATGTGAAAAAAATATCTGGGCTTAGTTTTTCCCCAGTTAGCAGAAAAAACAAACAACTGTACTTCATCCCCTGAAACTCAATGGCCCCATTCAACAAGTACACGGGCCTCATTCTATGTGGATTTATGTATGCAATAGTGCATGCTGGAGTTACAGGAAACTCAGCCTCCGGGTGGTTGACAGCCCCAGGGAGCAGGATTCCAATGTTCTCTAGATACAAATCGAATACTAGACTCTCATTGTACTGTCCTCTCCACAGAGAGATCGCTCTTGTCCTTGTGAATCTGCCAGGACATTTCTCTGGGAGAAGGAAGGAAGGGGGACTCGCTATGGTGGGATCTCACAACAACAGAACACAGACTACTGTGGTGGGTGAGTATGTCCTTTTATATTTAGAAAACCAGAATGCACGCCTCAGGATACTGTCCGAAAAGACCACAGGACAGTATTAAATTACTTGCTTGAATAACCAAGAAAGCTCCGCGCTAATAAAGCCTTATGGATTTTAGGAGCTCAAATCTCTGTCCCTTGAAACTCGGTTCAGTCAGTCTCCGGCATGCATCACGTGGCAATGGGCAGACTAGAAGCGAGTTAAGGCTCCAGAGTTCTGGAAGAGAGAGCGGCCAAGCAACCCCCGGGTCACGTGTCTTCTAGAAGGGCACCACTGTGACACCAGGGACCATGTCCAGGCTGTATGCGCGCAGATTTGCGCTCTGGAATGGAAGGCAGACTAGAGAGAGCCAGTGAACAAGACTAAGAGCCTGCAGTGAAGCGGGCTAGAGGCAGTGGAGAGGAAGGTGATGATGAACCCCCCCCCCAACTTTCCTCTCCCTCGGCCCACACACTTGAAATAGAAATAATAACACAACCAACCACCCGCTCGCATCCACGATGTTATCGCCCTACTTAAGTTGCCTCACTCCGGAGGTTCGGGGTATAAAGTGCAGACTGTCGCCTTTGCTGCAGGCTGGCTCCGGAGTACAGGTTCGCGCCGGCGCCGGTGACCCCACCTTCAAGGAAGCGGGCTCCGGGCTCTCCCACGCCACGCCGAGCTGACCCCCGCCCTCCTCCGTCCCTCCTCTCCACCGAGCTCCCTCCTCCCTCCGGCGCGCCTCCTTCTCGCAGCGGCCCCCGCAGACCAGCGAGGCGGCAGCACCCACGTCGCCGCAGCTCCTGCCCGCAGCGCGCCCGCCGCGTCCCCGGCTCCCACTCAGCACGAGCGGCGCCTCCGGCAGCCCGGACCCCGCTCGGTGCGCACGGTGCGGAGGGGCAGAGCTGAGCTGAGCCCGGCTGGGGCCGCAGGAGGACGGTGTGGCCGAGGACGCCGAGACTCTGTGACCGCTCAGAGGGGACGAGTTGCGCACCTGGAAAGTTACGCGGCGGCCTGGTGAGGCTGGGGGCTCGGGGACCCGGGGGACGCCCCGAGAGGGATGGCATGGCGACACGAGGGTGCTGCTGGGCGTGTATTGCGCGGCGTGCACTTCTCCACACCCAGCGGGTCTCTCATGCTGTTTGCTGTTTGCATGTGGACATGTAGACACCTTGCTTTCTCTCCCTGTGGTGCCGGTGGGTCCATTCAGCGGTTGCCTTCAGGACGCAGTGGGACTGCAACATCCTTGAGTTCTGCTGGGGCTGGGGGCTCAAGGTTGCTGTCATGGTGTGTCATCCAGGCTTTGTTCTCCAAGGTCTGGATAGCTAATTGGGCACACAAGACTCCAGCAAGGACTTTTTACAAACTTGTTTGGCTGTCCTGTCCTGTCACTCAGCACCCTGAGGCGCTTTCACTGTTTTGCATATCCTGGTGAAGAAGGGAAGTGAACAAACAAATGCCAAGAAATCAGCCACTTTGGAGATGAGAGAAAAAGAAATGGGTTCTAGCTCAAGGGTGAGAATTGAGCTCATAGGCAGAGCAGGTAGGGGCCGAGAACAGAAGCAGCTCCACCTTAGAAAGGATGTCGCCTCTGCTTTCTGCGTCTTCATCTTATTTCCAAAGTACTGTAGGACAGGAACAATTTTTCTTAAAGAGAGTGCAGCATCCACCTGCTCCCTGCCACACCCCCATACACACAAAAAAGCCTTAGAAACCATTCCTCATCTCTGCAAGTTTCTATTTAGCTCATGGAGAAGGCGATCATCCCACGGAATATACAACAGCTGTTGCTCATGCTCCTGTTGTGTTTCTCACACCAGGGTAATGAGGTGATGGGGTGAGGAATCTCTTTAGGGAATTAGATTGTTCTCCTCCTTGCAACACCACAGCATAACTAAGAATAAACAACTTGCAAAGATGATGCCTGTGAACCCACCTTTAGTAGCAGTGCTTGACTCCGGGCCTCCAAATTCACAGGAGACAGATGAGAATTCACCGCACAGGGAAAGAAGACATGTGCTGCCCGACTGTTGCCCAAGCCCCGTCTTCTCGTATTGTCTCATTCCTCCGTGCTATTTTCCAGTTATCCACTCTCTCCCCTTGTTTGCGTTTTCTCTCTCATTATTCTGGGCTTATGAGAACTCTTATTCTACTATTGTAAAAATTCTTAGCATGCTCCAATAATAGCATCCTGAAGTCCCAACTCTTGGCACCAGCTCTTCCCTGGGACCATTTAAATGAGGTTCTAGCGTCGCTCTTCTGAAATGGCTAACGGCTGTGCTTTCCTCTCTCATCTCATTTCTTTTGATGCTTCTGGGAGCTGAGCTGCTGCCTGCTTGCCACTTGAAATTTTTATCTCCATGGTGTCTATCAGACTTCATATTCCTACAAGTTTTCCTTATCAAACCCGAAAGGTGTTGCTTCTCTTTCTCTTCTCCCACAAATTATATTTTCGTGGGTATGATGTATGTCTGCACTCGACAGTGTAGGTATTTCTTTCTTCTCTTTGTCAGTGATCTCATCTCCTCATGTGAACTTAAGTCTTACCTCTGTAGAACTGACCTGAGTTCTTCCTTCTTTGCATCTTGCTTAGGCATTCCTATCTTGCTGGTCCATGGGCATCTAGTACATCTTCTGTCTCCATAAGACTCCTTCTGCATGACTTCTCTCTCCTGTCTGAGTCAAGGGGATCACTGTCGATGGTGCTCCATGGGTGAATGAGTGACACAGAATGGAAGGACCACTTTTCTCCAACATGTCCAAGGTGAAAACATTGGAAGGAACTGACTTGCCCCATTGTCTCCTGTGCAATTAGAGATTCTACCCCAAATCTGACTTTCAATCACCTCTACTTTTTCTGAGGTCATCACATTTCTTCCTTCCCTTCCCTTTCTCCAAAATCTTCCACGTATCCCTCTTGCTCTCCTTCAAATTTATGACCTCATTTTTCATTGTTATTATATGATATACATATAGATAGGTAGAGATAGATGGATATATGTCTTGTTCAGTCCATATAATGTTGCCCGTGTGTGTGTTTACTTGTATGCATGTTTTCAGGGCTGGCCACTTGACAGTGGACAACGAATTGGTGTGCTCTTCCCTGCGGAGGGCCACCTCTCCATCTCCCAGCTCTCCTCAGTTGCCTGTAGTTTTCTGTGTGCGTGTCCCTCATCACTTTAACACATAGCCCTGCTTTTCTTTCCAGTCTAATACTTAGATTTCAATGCTGCTGTTCCTTATGTGACCACACATCCCTAGGAACTTTTTCAGTTTCCATTTAATGTCAACGCCAGCTACAGATCTTTGTTTCTCCCTTTCATTTGGTTTTCTAGTCCCTTGCTTATTGCTGCTTACTACACTCTTGGGCTTGAAATTTACACAAGTCTCTCATCTTAAGTGTGTCCAAACTTACACTGGTACTGGTGTCTCCCAAATCTGCTCCTCATTTTGACTAACAGCACCAGCTCTCATCCAGTTGCCACAAGGTGAACATGAAGTATGATTCTATTTCCATCACTCAAATTCCATTGGCTACAATGTTCTGACCTAGGCATACCAGCTCGCATTTCTGTGTTTGCTTTTTATATGCTTGGGTAGCATGCCTACCCCACCAAGAGAGCTGAATGGAATGAACCTTTTAGAATCTAGAAACCATATTAGTCAAAAAATTCATGGTGTGAATTCTACTGGGGGTGGGTTCATCCACAGAAAGCTGGTAGTGACTGGAAGTTTGGTATGACAAGTTCATAAGGTTGTAAGTTGAGAGGAAATCATTCTCAAAATCAAGATGCTGTGGATAGATAAAACAGCAGCAGATTCTAAACTGAGCCTGTTGTCCACTGTCACAGGGTGGGCGGAAATGGACTTTTAATTGTGTCACTGACAGGAGATTTAGCTGTTTCTCACAGGGTCAGTTCTGTTTGGGTTGCTTCAGGAAGATGAAGCAGGGATTTAGGTATTTAGTGATGGTTAATTATTTTCTAAAAGAGCTCTGGAGAGACCAGTAAATGGTAGCCATACAGACATGCGCAAGTTTCATATAATCTTAAAATTTTATCCAAGGAAGCCAGTACAATCCCTTCCTCCAATTTCAAGCTAAACAGCCAAGATGATAAAAAAATAAAAGCCCTTCTCTGATTTTCATGATTTATCGAAGGAAAAGAAATTGCAGTTACCTGTAGCCATCACTTCTGTGAAATCCTCTATAGTAATGTTTTCCTCCTCTAGTTACCATGGAGATAGTCTGTATTTTCTCTAGTTCAAGAAGTTTGAGTCATTAGAATAGGTTTGAGACTCCAGGCTGACTTTAATCTCATAAGCACATCTTACTTGGATTGGTGCAATTGTCTTTGTTTTACTTCCCCTAAGATTTCTTCATTTGGTTTCATAGTTATTCCAGGAGCATTATCTTCTAAAGGACAGATATGACTATGCAGCTTGAAAAAGAACTTGGCTTGCATTAAAACCCAGATACCATAATAAGGCATGTGTGTTTTTGGGTTCTTACTCCAGTATATTACATTTTTAAACCTTATTACTCATTACTTTCTTTCCACCCTTCATACATAGAGCCCATTTCTTTGGTGAGATAGGCTTTAGGTTTTCTTGCATCTACTTCATAGTAAGTGCTCTGTTTTCTAATTAATAGGCTCTCTACTTTCCAGCAGCAGATTTAGGTTCATAGAAAAGTATAGTTAATTATGCACCACCCCCATCGGTTTCCTTTGTTCCTAACAACTTCTAAAACAGGTTTCTTTTTATTTTTAACATTTATTTTTATTTATGTGTGTATATATCTGAGTGCATGTGTCATATGTGTGTGGTGCCCACACAGGCCAGAAGAGGGCATCCGAGCCTCTGGACTTTGAGTCACAGCCAGTTGTGAGTTGCCCTATGTGGGTGGTGGGAACTGAAGTCTGGTCTTTAGGATTTGTAGCCAGGTCTGTCAATGTCTGAGCCAGCTCTCTAGTATGTGTTCTTAGGGGCCTGCAGCAGAGTGATATGCTAGCTGCTTGATGAGTTCATATCGACATGTGACTAATTAAAGCCTATCAGTTAAAGATGGGTTTCTCCTTTGTAATGTATATCCCATGGGTTGGGACAAGTACAATAACATAAATCTTTTATTGTACTATCATACAGAATGGTCTCAATGTCACCAACACTCTCTGTGTTTCACTCATTTATTCCTTTCTCCCCTGCTCTCCAAAACTCTTGGCAGACACTTATCTTCACTGCCTATACTTCTCCTATTTCCCATTATACTGTACAGTTGGACTCGTACAGTATGTAGGTTCTTCCAGTTGACTTCTTCATGTAGTAATATGTATTTAGAGTTCCTCTATGTCTTCTCATTGGTTAATCCTACGTCTTATTCTTGAACAATATTCTGTTAAATAGATGAACTGCAGTTTCTTTGTTAACCAGCAGAAGGACATGGTTGCCTCAAAGTTGCAGCCTTTATGAATAATGCCAAAGATTCTGAGGAAACCATGTGAATCATTGATTAAACAAGGGAAGCATGATTAACTTAGTGACAAACACCCACTCTGTCTTCTGAGGCTCTGTATCACCTTACATGTCCTCTGGTGACACCAACCTTCCTGTCAGTCTCTATCCTGTGAGCTCTTGTGCTCTCTTTGCTGTGAATTGTCATCACTGTCTTGGTATCTCCCTGTTGGATTAGTTTGAAGTTGTCTACCCACAGACGACTGTCTTCTTTGCCATCTGTAAAGCTTGGGTGAGGTATCCTTTTAGGTCTTTTACCCATTTTCGAGGTTTGTTTAAAATGTTGTATGTGGAGAACACCTCCTTTATTTGCCTTCTCCCAGACAATTTCACTCTCTTCTTTGGCAGGGTTTTAGCAAAGAATAAACTTTTTTTTTTGGTTTTTTCGAGACAGGGTTTCTCTGTAGCTTTGGAGGCTGTCCTGGAACTCACTTTGTAGACCAGGCTGGCCTTGAACTCACAGAGATCCGCCTGCCTCTGCCTCCCGAGTGCTGGGATTAAAGGCG